GGAGGGAGCACCCAGAGCTGAGGGTCTGGCCCCGCAATGCCAAGGCCCTGGCACAGAGCTGTTGCTGATGCCAGGGGGACTCACCTGCTTTGATACATCCGTCAGGAGGTCCGGGGAGGAGCGGCACTGCCTCTCATCGTAGCGGGACGTGTAGTGCTTCCTGCAGGACAAGAACAAGGGTAGGTGATGGCCAGGAGGGCCCCTTCCCCTCTCCCCAGTCCCCTCAGGAGCCTCTCCCCCTCCATGTCCCTAGTACCTCTCGAAGGGCAGGCTCTTCATCTTGGCCTTCCTGCCGTGCTCCAGCAGCTGCCGCTGAGTCCTGCCACTGCAGCATGGAGGGAGAAACGTGAGCAGCACCATCAGCCCCAGCCCTTGTGCCCCTTGTGAGGGGATGCGGCAGAACTAAGGTAGGGGGCTCTCCAGGAGAAGTAGCTGTTCTCAGCCCCTCGAATTCAGACAGGGCTGACATATAAAGGAGGCTCAGAGCCATGCCCAGGCCCTTCCCAGCCCCAGCAGCTTGGGTTTCCCCAGGGAATTTACCTGTAGCGGAAGCTGGAACCTTTGCTGCACAGAAGGGCTTTGGGCTTTGACTTGGGCTCCTCAGAGAGCCTGAAGAAAGCGTGGTACTCCACACACGTCTTCCAGAAGGCTTTGCAGGTGTCCCGGCTGGCCATGGTGAACTCCAGCGTGTCCTTGCACAGCTCCTGTGTGCCAGAGATGGGGTCAGGAGCATGGCACAAGCCCTGCCATGTGCCCTCCTGATCCCCCAGGGGCCATATGGGCTGCCAGTGGCTCCAGGCACTGCACTGTCACCTGGCTGGGGACACAGGAGAAGCTCTCAAGAAGGAGCACCATCATGAGCAGCAGGAATGGATTTTGCTCAGAACTGGGGACTTTGTGTGGCTGACCTTCCATCCACAGCTGTCTGCCCCTGAGCCCAGCAGTGCCTGTGGCGTGGTACTTACAGAGATGTTTGCATGGAGCTTGATGAGAAAATGCTTCCTCTTGAAACTCAGTTTGCGAATTTTGGACCAGTTGAAGGTGTTGATCTTTGTATTGCCCTGCAAGGACAAACATAGCAATTACAGCTGGATGGAGCAACCTGTAAATACAGAAATGCATTGGGCCAAGGCCTGAGCTCACAGGACACTGCATCAGACTCCAATGCAGCTCCTGGGGGTGCTGGGGTTTGGTGTTTGACTCTCCATCAGCTGGTTCTACAAGTAGAAATTGAGGTTCAGGGCTTAACTCTGCCTGCTGAAGCTTTTTGCAAAATCCAGGACTCCCAGACAAACTTCAGAGAGGTTAAGGGAGGGAGTCCTATCTGTACCAGCTCAAATATCATGTGAGTTAAGGCAAAATCAGTGCCCCAAATAAATAATATTCTCCCCTCCTTTGCTGGGAAGTGTAGCAGTGCTCAGCTCACCCCTACAACTTTAGACCTGCTTTAAGCAGGCTGCAAGCACACATTAATTACTCTGTTATCATTTTGCACAAGGTTAGATGCAGCCACATGGCAGAACCAGGAAAAAATCACGTTACCCAACTGTGTGGCACCAGGACCCTCTGAGCTTTCTGCAAGAGCCCAGATTTTCATGGGCTCACGGATGCTCTAATCATGCGTGAGGGGTGTTTATGGCTCTGAATAAATAACCAGGTCTGGCAGCACTAATTACCAACAGCAGACCCACAGCTAGGTTTTATGTTTGGGTTTGTTGGTTTGTTTTTTTTTTTTTTTGCTGTGACAAGATGTTCCCAGGTTGAAATCAGCTGCTGTGGAAGCGGAGAGGAAGTCTGTATTTACTGCCCAGCTCTGCTGTGATTACAGCCTTATGTAATTGCACGGACGTGGGGGGCTATTTTCACTGGAAGATTACACAGTGAGCACATGTGACAGAGCCGTGGAACCTGTGCTGCTCACACGGCCACCACGCTCGTGGGACAAGGGCGAGCAGGGCTGGGGCACCTTCAGTGGCACACAGGGCTGGTGGGGCTGAGGCCTACAGCATCCCCTTCACCCCCATGGCCTGTGGAAGAGAGAGTTTGGGGTGCTCAAAGGGGAGAAGGGTCACCTGCAGCTGGAGAGGCCACCCCTGAGCCCCAGGCTCACCCTCGGCACCAGCACCCCCATGTGTGTCACTGCCAGGCTGATCTGTGTCCCTCAGCACCAGCACCCCCATGTGTGTCACAGATTGATCTGTGTCCCCTCATCCTCAGCACCAGCACCCCCATGTGTGTCACAGGTTGATCTGTGTCCCCTCACCCTCAGCACCAGCACCCCCATGTGTGTCACAGGTTGATCTGTGTCCCCTCACCCTCAGCACCAGCACCCCCATGTGTGTCACGGCCAGGTTGATCTGTGTCCCCTCGCCGTCGCTGGCGGGGTGGGGGCGGATCCCGTACATCTCCAGCTTCCTGGCCACGTCCAGCAGCTGAGCGTCCGACTCGGCCGGCGTCTTCCCTCTGCAGACACAGCGCACAGGAAGGACAGGAGTGAGAAGGGAGATGCTGAAATGGGCTGAAAAAGCCATTCTACACCCACCCCACTGCCAGCCCTGCCTGCTGGTGGGAGCATCGTGCCAGCAGAGGTCCATAGGGGGTTTGTGGTGTGGAGCAGCCCTTACCTGTGTCTCCGGTGGTAGTGCATGATCTTGTTGTCCAGGTACTCCTGGTTGGGCAGGTACCTGTGCGTGGCCAGGTGCTGCTGGTCTGTCTCCTCGTGGAAGTCGCCCAGCTCGGCTTTGGGGACAGGGAGAGCGTGGATTAGGCTGTGAGGGGTCGGGGCAGGGGGGAGCCCTGGCTGCACGGCCAAAGCCCATCCCCAGGAAAGGGGCCCTGGCCCTGCAGTTCCTCTCTTGCCCTTACACTGCAGCAGGTGGGAGACGAGCAGCGCCGCGCTCTTGTCGCTGCAGGGCAGCCGCCCCTGGGCCAGGTCCTTCTTGATCTGGAGGGTGAAGAGGTACCTGTGGAGGGGGACAGGAGCATCCCTGGGGGAACTGGGTGCTGGGCTGAGCCTCGAGGGCTGTGCCTGTTCCCAATCTCATGGGATGCACATCCTCAGGGTCACAGGATGAGCGTGCAGCCCCTGCAGCTGGGCACCAGTAGGACCAGCACGTCCCTGTCAGTGAAATGCTCATTAGTAGATTTCAAAATTAACATTCCTTTCCGTTTTGGAGGGCATTTGCCTCTCTTGGGGCTGACGTACTGCATAAGTACTGTCTTGATTTTATTCTTAGTCCCTGTTTGCAATCCTTTCTCTAAAATTGTAGAAGCTAACAAAGTCATTTTTAAAAATAAAACTAAAGTTGTTCTCTCAGAACACTGCTTGAGGCAGGAGCTAGACTGAGCAGTCAGACTCTGTGCCCAACTGTTAAAGTGTTTGGCAGTAAACAAATTGCAGCCTCATAAGACAGTGGATTGTGTTTTAAAACAGAGGATCAAGAAAATATGTTCTCTGTTTTTATTCTGTAAAGAGTAATACTTAGGATATTTAGGATAACCACTGCACACAGACAGGCTGGGGTGGATGAAGATAAAGAATTAACACACTGCAAAAACACAGAACTGTGTGGTAAGAAAGTAATAAAACAAGCACTGTACCTGGTCAGTTCTTCTCTCAGGTGGCCGGGGTCCACTGGGAAAAATTTCACCATAAATTTGAAAAGAACCTCCTTAGGATCTTAAAACACAACATCTTCATAAGTTTTCTTTTACATGTCTATTGAGAACATTTACAACTCTCTTCACACATGCTGCCTCCTTACAGGGTAAATTATCTGGACCCTTACAAATCAGGGACTACAGCCTGTCCCCCCAAAACCAGCCTGCTCAGGCCCCAGTATTACCAATGAATGCAAACAGAGATTTGGATACCTTAAGAATACTAAAGAGAAAAATGTCCCAGCAATTCTTTAAATTGCAAAAATCCCTGTTGGAAGAGGTTTTCATGAAATGGTGCCAGGGAGCCTGGCCAGAGCCTTGGTGTGATTGCCATCACTGGGGCTGCGTGTTAAACCCAGCCCTCCAAGCTCTTGGGATGCAACAGCTCCATAGGAGGCCGCCTGGGCAAAGGGATTTTTGTGGGATGAGTGAGAACAAGCAGCCAAGCCCAAGGCAAAATGTGTGGAGGGAGGGAGGCAATTATGTAAGCACTGTCACAGAACACCCTGGGATGGCTCAGAGGGACAGGCCAGAAGGTGAAGGAAAGAGGTGCCTGCAACAATTCCATTTGTGGTGCACCCAGAAAGGGAAGGATCCTTATCAGGCTTTCCCCTTTCAGGGAAATTCATGCAAACCCTGCTCTGCAGCCTCCCCTTGGCAAATCTGGGGTCATGGCCCCAGGCTCTCAGTCACCTCCCAGCCTTCATGTACTTGGGGAAATGCTGTGGGGATGGAGAGAGGCCTGAAAGCAGCACTGAGGTAACCCTGGTCCTGGCCATGGCACAGGAGGCTGGGCCTGAACTCAGGTCAGGCTCTGCAGCATCTCTGGGCTGGGGAGGAGCTGAGGGCAGAGGGGGACCCTGCCTCAGGCAGGTGCCTGGGCCACTCTGAGCTGCAGAGGGAAAAGGAGGACAGGCAGGAGCAGAGCCTGTCACGCTGCCAGCACGGCCACACAGGCACTCAGCCACCCTGCTCCTCTGCCAAGCTGTCAGGTTATTAACACTCCAGCCTAAAATGGTGCAGATAGCAGATTGCAAAGGCAGTGGCGTTTCTGTGGGATTTTGTAGGGAATGAGGTGTCTTTGTAAACAATCCTGCCCAGCCTCACCCTCTAAAATGAGCCTGGTTAAGTGCTGGAAGCCAGAGATCCTGTCCCTCAGAAACAACACTGCATGAATGTGTCTGTGCTAGACTCTCACAGGTAATGATTTATAAGAATTCCATTCTTGAAATACTTACTTTTCACTTGCTTTGTTATGGGTTTTAGTGGTTCCAACCAGACCTGAAATGAGGCAAATAAAAGCTGCGTAAATAAACAGCACAAGGGATGGGGAATAAAAACAGCAGCAGCAGCATGGTAAAGTGCAGCATGAAGATGCTGGCCAGCTTGGCTGCTGTGACAAGTGTCCTGCTGGCCATGGACAGACCATGAGCTGTTGATACCACTGGGGCTCGTGGCTCCCCTCCTGACTCCCATTCCCAGGGTTTTCCTGCCATCATGGCAAAACTTTCTATTTAATTTTCCATTTGGGATTCCAGGGAGGTGCTGACAATCCCTGGCCATGCAGGCGCTGCCAGCTGCACTCACCTGGTTTCCAGCCTGGCTGTGAAACTCCAGCCCAAAGTACTCCTTCTCCACGAGGTTCAGGTGGCTGCAGGTGAGGTTGAAGAGCCCTTTCCCACAGGATTTTTGCTAGCAAACAAGCACAGCACAGAAGCAGCAGGTTAGGCAATGCTGGCAGCAGCAGTGATGGGATTTCAGAGAGCTGGGGAGAAGTTTCAGCTCCCTTCCTGCACCCCTTTCCTGACCATGCAGCAGCAGAATCTTACTCAATAAATGCTCTTGGCTTCAGCATGTACAACAGGACAGCTGTATGCTTTTGGAAATCAAATTCCTTCCCATCACTTCTCTCCTTTATTAAGGAACTTAAACCAGAAAGGAGAGCAAGAGAAAACAAACCATGTTTTGACTCACTGTTCACAACTATCACAGTCTGGGCAGTTCTGTCCCTGGCAAAGCAGTGAGTGATCCCAGGAGAGGCACCTGCCCGAGCCAGGGCCGGCCATGGCCAACGTGCTTCATCCAGAGCCAACGGGAGCAGCCTCAAACCTGTGCAGGGAGCCTGGGTGTCCCAACAGCTGGGGCTGAGCTGCCATTATGGTTCATGGTAATTAACAGCAACAGGGCCAGAGATCCTGTGCCCAGGGCTCTGAGTCATCCCTGGGCTTTGGCAATAGGAATTAAGTGGTGCTGCATGCTGATAAGGGAGGCCAGGCTGTAGTTATTCCCAGTAAACAGAAACACTTGGAGGGTGTTTTCTTGACTTGTTGCCATGCTGTAGGACCTGGCTGGAGAACAAACCAGGAGGCCCCTGACTCTGGAAATTGCTCCAGAAAGCACCAAAAATTAAAATGGCAGTGACCCACCCCAACAAAACCCTGACAGGCCTTCATCAGCTTGTGAAAAGCAGAGCAAAAAGAAGCAATGGTTATTGCAAAAGCAGGCTGGAGCAGAGGCCAGGTTAGACAGCTGCTAAATGATCACATGTGGGGTGATGGAGGGGAAGACTGGCTGCAGCTCCCTGTGGCAGTGGCTGTCCCCAGCAGGGATGGGAGGGACCTGGCTGCTGCTGGTGATGCACACTAATAACCACCTTTCAGGGCTTCTCCTGGGATGAAATTGCTGGCTCTGTGCTGAAAGGCTGCAGAAAAGTGATAGCATAATAACAGCATTCGCTCTGTAGCGCTCCCAGCTCTCCTCAAAATTACTGGATCACAAGGGTAATTAAAAAAATTATAAATGTTTTTTTTCCAAGCTAGAATTTTCTAGCATGAAAGGCCTTGGCCTTTGTCAGGCAGCCAGGAAAGACAAGCATTTCTGACTGGGTTATTACCTACCATATGTCTGCTGGGAGCAACCCACTGTGCTCCAAGGGCAGCAGTGCCCAGGGACAGGAGCAGCCCCAAACCCAGGAAAACCTGCTGGGAGACACAGCCCTGCTGCTGCTGCAGGGGCTCTTTGGGAGCAGAGCCTTTCTCTTGCAGAGAGCTGCTTGCAGGTGTCCTGTCCTGGGTTTTGGGGTGCTGAGGCCAGTGCTTCCTCAGCCCTGGGGTACAGAGGGGCTCAGAGCATCGGCCTTGCCCTGCACCGAGTGAGGGAGTGGGGTCTGTGCTGGGGGGGCACAGTGCAAGGCACAGCGATGGCATGTGGGGCTGTTTGTGCCATGCCCCAGCCCACGGGTGCCTCTGGGAATGAGGCAGGGCCAGGTGAGCACCCACAGGCAGAAATCCCAGAGCAGGAGGTGAAGAGGGGAGGCTGCACTTGCCCCTCACTCCTCAGTGAAAGCAGCTGGGACTTGAGCAGAATCAGAAAGCCAGGGGCAGACAGCAGCACGTGCAGCACACGGGGGACACACACCCCATGTCCTCAGAGGGACTCTGGCAGCACCTGCAGCCCAAAGGAAAAGCCCATTTCTGCAGCATTCCCATAGGACAGGCTATTCTAGCTACAGACAGGTCCATGGGTTAGGGGTGAGCAAATCCCTCATGGGATTTGGTGTGATTTTTTTGCCACCACCATCTCCCTTGGGAGATGCCTGCCCTGTCAGCACAGTGTCCTGCACCTAAAGCCACCAGCCTCCCTGTGGCCTCACTCCTGTGCCACCACACACCTCCTGCAAGGAATTCCCAGCTTTACAGGGATCACACCACCACAGGAGACCCTGTCCTTCACCCAGCCTCAGCAGAGAGTTTCTCTGGGCTTGTTTGGTTTGCCCACAGCATCCCAGGCCCAGCCATGGGGTGTTCAGCAGGGAGGGCACAGTGGGGACGTTCAGAGATGTACCAAGCCCCTCTCTGCCCTGCTCTGAGGGCTCAGACCTGTTATCCCAGGAACCAGAGCTCAGCTGAAGGAAACCCTGGGAACTCAGTGGTCCCAACTGATGCAGAAGCCTCCCTGGGACAGCATCCAGCACCAGCAGAGGAACTTGTTCTCATGCAAGCAGGAAGGGAGACCCTGCTGCACATGCTGGCAGCTGTGACACCCATGTGAGGCAGGTAGAGATGTTTACACTGAGTGTGAGGTGCAGGGGCACTCAGCCCTCTGTGTTTTCTCTCTTTTGTCCTTTCCCTCCCATTATACGGAAGTACTCCTCATTCAAAAGAGCTTTCCAAAGTCAGGAGGGGTTTAGGAAGAGTTGCTTAAAATATCTGCTCAAAACTTAGCCCAAAGCACTCCTTTTATACTGGAGAAGTCACTAATTCAGCCACTCATTTATTGTACCCACACAGAGCAGCAAATGCATGAAATGCCTAAAAGGGGTTTCCAATACCATTCCATGCTAAAAAAGGAAATGACCAGGAGTTCCTCTAATGGAAGCTATTTGCTGCAATAACATGTCGTGCAGAGCTATAGTGCTGCCTTTTGAGCAAATAAGAAAACAGAGATGGAAAAAAATGCAGCAACATTGTAGGAGAAGCATCTTTTGAATTGTGTCTCACTATGACTGATTTAATCAATGGGGGGAGGAGGGAGAGGCATTTTAAAATGACCAGTCTCATTTTTAAGCTGACTCCTGGACTAGTATAGATTAATTAAACTAAATCAAACAACTTCCATACTGTGTCAAGGCATGGAATTGCTCTATAATCCTCTTTTGTGCAAAATACTGTCACAAAGAAACGGAGCTGGGCATCTGGGAGAGCAGTTCTCTGGCTGTGCTATAAACCACAGAAGAGAACAGAAGAAAAGCAACAGAACTTGAAAAAACCCACTTTATATTAAACACTCTGCTCCCACAGGAGATGCAGGTAAGTACCAGAACAAATCCACTTGAATTAGCTAATTCAATTAGCTACTGTGATTATTAAACACTAACCAACAGTAAATGTGCAATCACACTTGTAAAAAGATGCTTCTAACACACAGACAAGACATACCTGCTTTCAGTTATCTATACACATATGCATAAACTTAACACCATAGATATTAATACTTAATATTTTAAACCTAGTTCAGAACTAGCATTTTGTAAAATGCAACATTAATCACAATGTGTTGTGGGACACTGCCATGCAGAAAATAAGACAGAGTGAGTTTTTTTCCTCAGCTATTCTCAAAACCACAGTTTTCTTTTTCAGCTGAATGCCCAGGAGAAGATGTGTGCAGATGTTTCTCAACAGGGATAACTTGGATAAATATGCTATTTTTATTCTGTTCCCAGACTTTTCTTCCTTGCTGAATGTTTACACTGGCAGCCAGACAAATGAGAGAACTCAACACTTGTCAAGACCATCACTTAATATTAACTGATTTACTAAAGATCACGTCAGGTAAGTAAAAGCCATTCCTCCTTTTTCATAAATAATGCCAATAACAGGGGAGCACAGGAGTATATTGATACCAAAAAACACTTACCAATTAGTTCTAGAAAGCTTCATTTTGAATTTGAGATTGGTTTTCTTGTTTGTTTGCTGGGTTTTTTTTAAAGCTGAAAACCAGAAACTATCAGAGACCATGCAATCCTTCAGAGCAGCAATGATTTAATAATTAACACCAAAAAATCAGTAAGAATATGATAATAGGATACCCACTTACATCAACTACAAAGATCTTCTGGGAATCATCCAGGAACTGGACTTTGAGGTGCAGCATCCTCGGGCAGGCAGCTGGGTGTGCAGCAGGCACGCAGTGCTAGCAGTGTGAGCTGGGAGCTGGGAAGGGAGCCCTGACTCCTCTTGCACACATAATTCCCTCTCAGCTGGATGGAGAAGGCTGCACTCACAGATGTGGAGCAGAGGCTGGAGCAAACGAGCTGACTGCCTAAAAATTAATTAAAAAAAAACCAGCAAACCAATACCTCCCTTGGTTCAAATGTCACCTCTGCAATAAAAGATGTTTTCTGCTTGTGAATTATGGGTGTATAAACAGGGGGGAGATTGGCAGTAATGGGGCTGAGATAAATGCTCAGCTCTTGCAGCTGGTGGTGAGCAATGAGAGGGCAAAGCAAGCCCATGCTGGGTGCCACGGGTCAGGGCAGAAGAGCTGAGCATCCCCCCTGCCAAAGGCACCCAGCAGTGAGTGTCACCCTTGCCTGCTCTGGTCAAGGTGCACTGGCAGAGCAGCTGGGTGGCAGCTGTGCTGGCTCCATGGGCTGGGCAGATCATGTCCTGTCCACTGGGTGATGTGTGGATGGGCTGAGGTACTTCACCAGAGACTGGAAAATGTTTCCAGCTGGACTCAAAACCAGTTGTGAGTCCCTCCTGGAGAGGCAGAGGAGAACCTGCTCCTAATTCCCAGCTCACATCCTGGTTGAACAGCTTAGTGAAGTCTCACAAGCCTTTGAGACAGCCTGGTTCCCAGTTCAAACCTGAACAACCCATGTACCCAGTCATCAGCTGCTGCTGGGAGTGCCAGAGCCCAGCTCAGCCCAGGCTGCTCCATGCTGGGGGTGCCTGTGCTGCTCCTCTGCCCCAGGTGGGCAGGGCCATGAGGAGCTCTCTGACCCCTCTGGCTCCTGTCACCCACTGAGCTTTTGGGGGAAAGCACCTTTGGGCAGGAGCCCCCCCTTTCAGAAATAAATGCACTGAGCAGCGCCAAAGGCAGGTACTGGACTGGCACTGGGGATCATTACTGCTGCTTGAAAAGTCACAACCACACACGATCCTGTGGCACCCAGAGTGATAGAAACATGGCTCAGCAAACCAAAAAACACATTTAGTGCTGCAGAGATTTTGCTTGGTGCTCCCTCACTGAAACTCCCACTGTAAGTCACTCCAGAACATTTGCCCTGGCCTCTCTTACACTTCCCAAACATTCCTGAGGATATCAAGACAGAGGCCATCAGGGCAGCACAATACCTTGTCATCTCTGGTGCACAGAGAAAGACCATAGAGCTTTTTATCCACAGAAAAATGTGTAAATCTTCTGCTCACCAAGACAAAAAGGAGCCCAAAAATCAAAGCCAACCTGCTTTTCCCCATGAAGTGCTGCACACATCAGCTGAGCCCATTGTGCTCCAGGAGGGGATGGCTGCGCCCCCTGTGCCAGCCCCACGTGAAGGACAAAGCCAGCTCTGCTCGTGGCCCTGGGCTCTGAGCTCTTTGTGTCGCAGGAGAAGGGCAGCACCATGTACAAACCATCCAGGGGGGCTCAGTGCACCCTCCCTCTGAGGCTTAAAATGTTTGTGCTGCCAAATATTGAGAGCACAAGGAGAGGAGCAGCTCTCCTGTGAGTGGCTCTCCTGTCACAGCTCTGCACTGGGAGCACGGTGGGGACACTGGGCTGGCAGGAGGGATGTAGGGGTGCACTAGAGAAGACCCAAAGCCGAGAAGAAGCCAAGTCTCCCTGCTACAGGCTCTCCTGGCAAGCCAGGGCACTGACCCTGGACTCCACAGATGCTGTTGGAAGCTGGGCACCAGCCAGTCAGGCTGTGGGCAGAAGAAAAGGGTTTATTTCACTACCTTGCTATGAAGGAATAAGGCTGTGTTGGGTCAGACAGGACCTCTGGCCACCCTATAAATCTATCCATGGACACAGCATGGAGCCAGCAAACAGGATCAAACTACATGAACAAGAGCTTTTTGGGATAGGACACTAAAGGACAGCAAGAAGAGATGTGGGACAAGCAAGGATTTCTTGGGGCATGGAGATTGTTGCTGTCTGAGCAGATGAGAAACCTGTTTTACCCTCACCTATCTCCTTCTGGAGGTGACTTGGGGGCCAGCTGGAGCAGCACACAAGGGGAGCACCAGGAGGAATTCTGGCTCCTGGCCTCAGCCAATGCCACAGTCCAGCCTGGTATGTATGCCCTCCTTATCTGCAGGGGCAGGGAAAATGTGAAAATGGTGCAGGAAAGCACAGAACCCATGAGGGGCAAGCACAGCCATGGTGGCAGATGGGGAGGGGACCACAAGCAGCAGCACCAGAGCACTGAGGGGCCTGAGCAGCAGCATGGTGCAGTGAGTTCTGCTTCAGGGCTCCTTGCTCAGCCAGCCCAGCCTTTGATTTAAATACTCTGGACCCTGCTAGCACCATCCTCGAGTTCACCAGTTCTCCCAGTAAGGATTTTCTTCCACCAAGTGCATCTGATCCCATATTAGGCTGGATGTATTGGCTCAGGGTCTTCAGCCTCTCAAGTACCCTGTAGCTTGCTACTAGGATGGACTGAGCAGAGCAAGAACCAAGAAGTTTCCTTCCTCCCAAACCCTGCTGCTGCTTTTCCCAAGGAGAAATGTTTCTCCTTTGTTCCCTGTCGGTGCTGGAGTGAGGGCAGAGAGCTGAGCACTGAGCTACACCCTGCAGAGCCTCCTGAAGGGTGAGCATTGTCACTGGGCACTGAGCCAGCCAGGGCAGAGCTGGGCTGGGGATGGGCAAGGAAATGCCCCAAACCTCCCCAGTGCCTCCTGAGAGAGCAGCAGGCTGTGAGAGAACAAACTCTGGCAGAGCAGGGACGTGACATGCTGCCCCTGCATCACCGTGCATTGCTGCCCCTTAGACTTTGTCAAGTTTATCTTCAAATACGGTTTAGAGGAAGGAAATTGAGATGTATAGATAAAGTCATTGAGCAGAGACATGCCAGGGGATGTCAAACAGCACAGTCCAAGAGGCAAGAACCCACACCCAGCTCGTTGCTGAGCAGACAGAAATGCACACTTGAAATGCCAGGCAGGACTCACCCAGGTGGACTTTGGTCAGCTGTGACCTTTCATACACTCACATCTCACCTCCCCTTCCTCAGCTGAAGCTGCAAGGAGAACATCCACGCTCCCTCCTCACCCAGCCAGGACTCCCCCAGCTGCAGGGCCAGGGCCCAGCCCTTGGCTCTGGCACAGCCAAAATCCCTCTGAACAGCTCCAGGCCCTCAACAGGCAATCCCAGCTGGGTAGTGAACCCAAGGCATGGCACCAGCACTGTCAACAGGGACAATTCTACCCAGAATGGGGTACCCACCTCATTCCTGCTGCCCTTCCAGGAGCAATGGCTTCACTCTCAGCTGGGCTCCCAGCTTACACACAGTTGCTTTAAACTTTTTATAAAATATACCTCCTAAAAAGTATTTTTAAAAAAACCACAAGGCCTGAAAAAATTGAGTTTGTTTAGCTTAAAAAGAGAAGAAAGGAACAACAATCACCTGTTTGATGCAGATCCACTCCAGAATGGATCAGCTGTGTTCCCAAGATAAAGAGAAAATGAAGAGTTTGCTAGAAACTGCAGGGAAGATCTGAGTTAGGTCCTAGGAAAGACCCTTAAATTGTGAGGCAGAAAAAACACTGGAGCAGGCTGGAAAAACCAGAGTTGATTTAGACACACCTGTAGGGAACAGCCCAGGTACATGGTCCTTCCTTTAAACCTTTAACAGTGATCACTGTTTTACATTTTCTCCACATTATATCTTGAACGTATCTCAACAGGTAGACCTGACCTGCCATGTCCTGCCCTTCTAAAAACTTCTGCCTCAAAACTGTTGCTTATTGTATTAAATAAATATAATGACACATTTACATTTTCATCAAATTTTGCTTACCAGCCATCAGCTGGTAATAATCTGACATCAGTGTGCTGAAACTCATTACTCACGAGTAATCACTGGGAAAATGGAAATAATTGCATTTTTTATTTTGTGTTTAGGTGGGGTTCACCCATAACCTCCCAACTGCAGGATGAGACTTCTCTGAGCAGCATTTTGATATCAGAAGGTGACATTATGCAGCAGCACTTTGCCCCAGTCTCACTCAGGGCAAAATTAGTGCCTATTCTCATGCTCAAGGAATCACAGAACTAAAGCAAGTCTTATTCATGTGATTATGTTTTTATTTCAGCCTCAGCAGCTAAGGTAAGTGGCTCTTTTTACCTACCTGCAATAACAGTGTAGGAAATCCCAAAATATGCAATAAAAACTCCAAGCACAACTGCAACTCCAGACACCTGAGACAAATTAACCCAAGGTGCAAAACATTCTTTGGAGTCCCGAAGCCCTGAAACCTGAATTTATTTCCATTTCTGTTCTGTTTTCAGCCTGTGTTTGGCCGCCAGGGCCGGAGCACCGCCCTGCTCTGACCATCCAGGAGGAGCCACTCGCTGCCTCCACGCTCCCTCTCGTGGTGTTGGTGGTGCCCCACAACAGGCACAGAGAGAACTCGGTGTGCAGGGATGAGCAGGTCACTCCTGCAATCACATTTTCCAGCGTGCACCCATGGCCATTGCTGACCTTTCCTCCTTTTCCAGATTTTTGTGTTATGTAAAAACTATTACCAGGAGTGCAGAAGGCAGCTTGCTGTGAGGAAATACAAATGACAGCACAAGCTGTGCAAGAAACTAAATACTGCCCTGACTTTGGTGATACCCAGAGCACTTTATCTCATTTCTGATATGCCAGTTGCACTGTGTTGTTGGCATAGCTATATAAAAAGCACTCTGTGATGTTTAATTCAAACAGGTCACTTCAAAGACATGAGAAAGCAATTTATGCAGCAAGAGAAAGCCTCTTAAATGTATTGAATCAAAGGGGCACTGATGCCTCCAAGGACCTGGGCATTGCACAGCATTCAGTGATTTCCACCTCCCCACCTCCCCACACGTGTGAGCAGTGCACAGCACAGGGCTGGTACCTTTATTTTTTGCTGTCCTTTATTTTTTCACACGTTGCTGGGCCACTTGCTGAGCATCAGGAAGGATCCTAAAGCCAATGGCTTCATGTGAGGAAGCTGCCATATGGAGTCTGCAGTGCCAGGTGAATCCTAGTGGGAAGGACAGAGTTCTAAGGAACTATACTGCTTATTTTCATGGCAGATGTGGTTTCCTTCT